ATAACAAATCTGTACTACAGAAAACGTTAAAGGAAGTTCTTCAGGCTGAAGTGAAATAATACCAGATGGAAACTTAGATCTATACAGAAGAATGAAAGGCACCAGAAATGGTAAATATGTGGGTAAATTAAAAGGACATTTTTAAATTGGACAAAAAATTATGTGCTATTTACAAAATAGAATACTTAACAGTAATAAGAATAATCTACATGGAACAACATGAATGAATCTCACAATGTCGAGAGAAAAAAGCTAAACATGAAAAGTACATATTGTAGTATTCCATTTATATAATGTACAAAAACGGGCAACAACCAATCTATGCTCTTAAAAATCAAAAGAGTGGTAATTCATGGGACAGCAGGTAATGACAGGAATGTGAGTTTGGGTCACTGGTAATGTTCTGTTTCTTGATCAGGGAGCTGTTTAGATATGTATGGTGGTTTAAAAACATCTCCATAGATCCTTTGACACTCCTCCCATCAGAAAATGAAGACCAATTCCCTCTCTTTTAATATGGCTGGTCTTAGTGACTCACCTCTAGCAAACAGAATGCATTGGAACTGACAACGTATGACTTCCAATGCTAGGTTAGAAAAGGCACTAGAATTTCCACCTGGCTCTCCTTCTTGGGACACTCACCTTTGGTACCAAGTCACCATGCTTTGCGAAAGTCAAGGAGTCACATGTAAAGGCCTTGTGGAGGTATTCTAGTCACAGACATAGCTAAGTTTGCAGTTAACAGGTAGCATCAACAGCCAAACATGTAAGTGAAGGAAACTTCTGATGATTCCAGCCCCCAGCCTTCAAATTATCCCAGCCAAGCCCTGATCGAATTGCAAATTCATAAACAAAATAAATGTTATTTTAAGCCACTAAATTTAGGGGTGATTAGTTCTGCAAGTATATGTAACTAGAACATACAACCAGTATGCTTACTTTGTGAAAATTCATTAAGCTGCATAATTATGATGTAGTCGGTCCTCCATATGCATGGGTTCCACATTTGCAGATTCAGTCAACTGCAGATGAAAAATATTTTTTTTTAAGTTCCAGAAAGTTCCAAGAAGAAAACATGAATTTGTTGCACATTGGCAACTATTTACATAGCATTTAAATTGTATTAGGTATTATATGTAACCTAGATATGATTTAAAGTATGTAGGAGGATGTGCATAGGTTATATGCAGACTACTCCATTTTATTTAAGAAACTTGCGCATACAAGGATCTTGGTGTCCCCGGGGATGGAGGAGGGCCTGGAACCAATCCTCCATGGATACCAAGGGACAACTGTATACACTTTTCCATACATATATTATACTTAGGTTTGAAATAAAAATCATATCATGGAAACAAGCTCAAGTTTCTCATCAAATTTTTAGATTTTATTGAGATGTTTTATACAAATTCAACATTTCATATCTCCCTAACACTTTGCCTTTTACTTACAATTACATAATATAAAGAAAAATAATGGATTTTTTTCACTGCATCCCATTTAGACATCTCCTAATCTCCATCAGTTTATCCTTGCACACTGCCCAATTCTGATCATTTATCATGTGTGGATGTAAAAAAAGTTGGGAAGCACTGCTACAGGAGACATCTGCCCAGGACCTCTTCTTCTATAATATAGAGTCTCATTGTCCTTTGGGGAACTACCTCCCTTTGGGTGAATCAAGGTAGCTGAGACCTGATAATTGCTTAGCTTTTTAAAAAATCCTATTATACCTCACATTCTTCCAATAAATTTCTCATTTTATTTAAGTTAGCAATATTTAGTCTCTATTCTCTGGACAGTACGTACTGATACATAACTCCAGTGCTAGCACACTGTGATCTATACATAGTTGATGATGAACAAATAAAACACAAAATGTTTATAAAATGATATTGGACAACTGATTTTTGTCAAAGCACAAAGGCAACACAGTGGAAAAAGAATAGCCTTTTCAACAAATATTGCTGGAACAATTGGTTATCCATATGTAACAAATACGAACCAAAATGCCTCATACCATAAATAAAAGTTAACTCAAAATGCATCATAGACCTAAACATACAGCCTAAACTGTAAAACTTCTAGAAGAAAACATAGGAAATGGCCTTTTTGAGTTAGGTTAGGCAAAGATTTCTTAGAAATGACACTAAAAGCATAATTCATAAAAGAATAAATTGGACTTTACTAAAATTTAAAACTTCTGCTCTTAAAAATACACTATTAAGAAAATGAAAAGACAAGCCACATACTGGGAGAAGATCTTTGCAAAGCATGTATCTGACAAAGAACTTGTACCCAGAATATATAAAGAACTCTGAAAATTTACAAAAAAAAAAAACCCAATTTTTAAAAAATGTAACAAAGATCTGAGCAGCCACTTCACCAAAAAAGATATGCAGATGGCAAATAAGCACATAAAAATATGCTCAACATCATTAGTCATTAGGAAAATATAAATTGAAACCACAAGATAACATTATACATCTATTAGAATGGCTCAAATTACAAACGACTGACTACACCAAGTGTCCATGAGGACATTTTATAAACATTTTATTTTACGGAGGAAATGGAACTCAAATACACTCCTGATGGGAATGTATTGTAAAATGGTACAACCACTCTGGGAAAATATTTAGCAGTTTCTTAAAAAGTTAAACATACATCTACCTATGATTCAACCATTCCACTTCTAGATTTTTATCCAAGAGAAAAAGGAAATATATGTCCATACAAAGACTTATACACAAATGTTCATGGCAACACTAATGGTAATAGCCCCAAACTAGACACAACCCAAATGTCCATCAACAGATGACAAACTGCAGTGCATCCATATAATGCAATATACTCATCAATAAAAAGGAATGAACTACTGGTACACAAAACATGGATGAACGTCAAGATAATGACACTAAGTAAAAGAAACCAGACCAGAAAAAATGTAATACATACTGTCTGATTCTATTTATGTAAAACTTTAGAAAAGACAAATGAATCTATAATGACAAAAAGTAAAATAGTGGCTGCTTAGGTGTGGGAGGCATGGAGAGACAAGAGAAAGAAATTACAAAGACGCATGAGGAAACTTGAGGATGATGGTGAATACAGTGATGTTTTCAAGGGGGTATACATATATAAAAACTTATCAATTTATACTCTTTAAATATGCTCCATATATTATGTCAATTATATCTCAAGCTAAAAAAACCTTCAGCTCAGCCATCAGATTTTGAAAGGAGCAGAAAGGATAAAGAACGGATATCTTGGTTAAAGTTCTCAGTGAATTTTGTGAATTATCCAAGTATGCCAGGAATTCATGCTTCCTCTGCCTAGCTGAGCTTCAGCACAGTTTAAGGAGCCATCTCCCTGATATTCTCCAGAAATGGTGACAACGGTAATTATTGGGTCTGTTTTCTGTTAGAAAATGACCCAATCAGTATAAAATGAATTCTGTGTCTTGTGAGAGATTGTCAATTAAACATATAATCCACACTTACGAACATTTGTAAAGGGCTTTCTCCTTGCAAGATAATTTTAATACTGAGAGTGAACGTTTTGTATGTGAATTCCAATACAGACACACTCATTATTTAATGCATCAGCACCTCAGTTTTCTCACCTGTGAAATGCCATAAGAAATAAGAAAAGCCAGGAAGCTAAAAAGAGCAGATTTTGCCAGATTTATTAATTCTTCCTTTTTGGGCAGAGCCTCTTTTTTCCCTCTCTGCTCTGAGAGGTGTCCATTTCTTCCCAACTCCACCGGCAGTAATTATCTTGAGTGAGTCAAGCTTCTCTCCCAGAAGTTTCATCCCTCTATCACTAGACTCCTCAAGAGAGGTCCAAGAGGAAGGTCCCTGCCATTGTCCTGGCTGGCCATTAAATTAGTCAAGAAGGTGTCCAAGACTCTGCTGTGCCTGGGTACCACACTGATGTCTTGGGTTGGCCTTGAGCTCTGTGCATTGTGTATTCTGGAGGTTGAGCTTCACTTTCCAGACAATCATTTTTTGTTGCACAGCAGGATGGGGAGTATCTCAACAGTATCCCCATTTCTAATTGCAAGTGGAGATAGTTTTCCAGGATGGCCTGTGTTCTCCGGGCTTTGACTCTTTAAGGGAGAATACAAGAACTAGGACCCACAGAACAGGAAAAGTGGTTGTGTCCACAGACTAGCATTAAGAGGCTCTAACTTCAATTTCCAGCTGCCAAAATGTGTGGGACTTTATCACCTCCAAAACTCAATTTTTTTCATCTCTATAATGGGGCCAAAGCCATCTAATTTCTTTAATTGTTATTAACGTCCATTATAAATTACAGCAGACTGGCCAATTATTAACTTGAACACTAAAACTAGCATTTAACACACTAACTCAACTTTTTATTAAATATATACTTAAATCAAATGCTTGAATAATTATAACTTACGGAGAAAACAAAGCTTTCCTCTTCTGAGTTAAGAATTTGAAAAGACGAGACGTAGAAGCAAACCAAAATCAAGTCAAGTCCTAAAACGATACAAGCCTCAAGAAGCCAAGCAGGTTTGCCAACAAAGTTCCGCCTCCGTGCAAACTCTGCCCACTTCCGGCTTCCCCATCCACTTTCTAACACTGGAACACCGCCCCTCTCTGCGAGGTCCCGCCCCATGCACCTGATCCTGGTTCCCATTGGGCAAATACGAAAGCTGTATATACACCCAGCACACGCACTTTCGGCAGGGGCGTCTTCGCGCCTGCGCAGCAGCACCGTCAGGCTGCTGGGCACTGGGACTGGGCACTGGGGACTGGGGACTGGGGG